ACCCGGGGGTGGGGGGAAAGCCCGTCCCTTCCGAGCGGCCGGCGCGGGTCTCGGCTGGTTTCGGGTTGGTTTCTTTATTTTTTTTTGTAAGAAAAAAATAAAAAATAAAAAAAAAATCCGCTCCTGTGCTCGTTCAACAAGGACCGGCGGCGGTGGGGACACGCGAGTGACTCCCTACAGGTACAACAAGCGTCTGCTCCGGTGGCAGGCGCTGGGCTCGTTTTCCTAAGCGATGACACAGCCTCCCTTCTCCTTGAAGGGGTTCTTGTCCTCGGGAACCCCCTTCACCAGCGGGTCCTCCCCCGACCGCTCCTCGATGTAGTTCTTGATCTCTTCGGAGCACTTGGACACCTGCAGTGAAAGAACAGAGAAGTGGCTGCGTTACGGCCGGAGCTCACCCTGCACATCAGAAGAGCAAACCGGTGAATTCACACCCTCCTTTCTCTTATTTACCTTCCCCTCAAATATAAACGACCCAGAGCCAGCACTAAGCATGTGCGCTCAGCTTCCTTCCACTTTTTCACAGCCCGGTATTGACAGAACATGTGAGTGTCACTGGGAACGTATATGCCCCTCGGAACAGCAGCTGCTGCATAGTTAAACTTGCATTTTTTTTTTTAATTAGCCAATATAGTTTTACTAAGCTGTGGATCACGCTCTCCCTTGGCATCAGCATGACTTACAGTGAATGGGTTCAGGATCAGTAACTTTCAATTCAATTTCAAAGTATTTATGACCTGTTTTTCCCAAACAAAACATTCAGTAATGATTTTTCACTCCTCATACAAATTCTCACCTTGCGGTTATGTAATAGCAACCATGCGTCTTGAATGGAAGTAAAGACCTGACTAGCAAAGACAATTTACTTCTGGGTTACCTGGGGTTATTTCAAACAACGGTTAACAAAACAGCCTGTTGTGTTATGAGATAACATAATATGCATGACACTTTGCGTGACATTCATAGCAAACTAGCAGTGATGTAGGTAAGCCCGCACAGAACCCGCCCCGTGAAGAAGAAACGGGTTTAGTTTGTGCTCACTGAGAGAGGAGCACAGGCAGCACATGCAATAACAGTGTCTCCAGAGCCGGAGGGTGCACAAGCAAATCCCACCAGCTCCAGAGGACCCTTGTCCACACGCATCTCTCGTTTCCCTTCCCTATGTCAGCAGAAACTGTCCTTAGGTGCTCAAATACCTGACATGTCTGAGGGCACGCTCCTGGCTCTGTCCCCACCTCCTCCCTTCCTACCCGCCGTCCCTGCGGAGGCACAGCAGTGCAGAGTCAGCAGCAGGAACCAGCTGTTGGCCAGGCCACTAGATGACTAGTATTTCTAATTTAAGGCCCCTTGCCCTCTTGTTAATTATATTTTACTCCATAGGTAAAATTATGACAAGAGAACCTGCTGTATCACAGACCAACAGAGCATGGCCTGGGCAAAATTAAGCTTTAAACCATCAGAAAGAACTCAGAGTTAATTCCCATTAAACAGTGCATAAAATAAGGTCTAACTACCTCTAGCTGCCTTACAGCAAAGAACGATTTGCACCTACAAATCCCATTACATGTGCCTTGCTCTTCCGTGCCTCGCAAACCCCTTTTGTTCAAACTGAGGCACCTTATGCCACAGTAAAGTTGTGTTCCCAAGTATATATGCAGAACCAGGGTTTGTTTTACTTCAGGCAGCACTATCAGGATCTTTTTCACATGTAAGAAAAAAATGTCTGCTTAAATACGCATTCAGACATTCATTCAAAAAATTATTTGAAAGGATATTTCCTCTTTGTGTTGTAAAGGTATAGGAAGGGGTCAAGAAAACTTTGGCTAAACTTTTTTACTTTTGGTGACAACAGAAGCGTGGCTTCTGCATTTCCCTGTCCCTGTAGCACCCATACAGGTACCAGGGGACTGTGACAACTACAACACAGATTTCATTCTCACAGTGAAACTTCTGTCATAACGCACTGGTAAAATTGAGGATGTTGTCTGTGCTTTACTATAGGTCATTTGAAAATATCCATTTCCTGAAAGTGATCAGGCTTTTGGTTTATTCCAAAAATTTAGGCAAGAATTTTAAATTACTATTATTATTATGAAAATCAAAATCTATACATCCTAGAGAGTATATTTCAGTTGCTTGGGAACTCTCTGAGGGATGATATAGATATCCATAGTACTTGGATGTGGAGCCCTCAATACTGCTGGAGCTTTAGACTATACCATAACATCTACAATTGCTGATACCTAACTGCCAGCTAAAATATAACTGTGGCTTTCTTATTTTCTGGGCTAAACACTTAGACCTGCAATGTAATTAGCATGACTAATGCCACTGATTCCCACATATAAAGGTATTTTTAGTCCTAACTAGAAGCGTTTATTTAGATGTAGTTTGCTTCTGCTGGCATGCAGAATAAAAAAGAAAAGAATATTAGTTTTATCATGGAGCAAGATCAGTTCTGTGTGTCTCTCATCTATAGAAAATGTGCAAAAATACAAAAATTTCACTGGAAACTACTTCCCCTGTGGGAAGGAGCAGCCCGTGTCAAGGACTAGGAGTACAACGTTTCTGTCGGGCAGGGCTGGATGGGTCACGGCTTTGCACCCGCCGTCCTTTGGCTCCCGCCCTCCGCCCGGGCCCTGCGCAGCGGGGCAGCGGGGCAGCGGCGCCGGGGGCCGAGGGCGGCCCTGGCCGCACGGCTTCTCCGCAGCCCGGCCGGGTTCGGGGCGGGCCCGGGCGGGGCGG